CTTCTGAAGGGTGTTGCCAGGAAAGACATTCTTGATTTGATGGAACAATTTGGATTGATTGCAAAATTTTCATCTTCAAAGACAGGTGAAAAGTATTTTGTTCCATCTCAACTCAAAGCGTCACCTGATTCCCTTTGTTCCATGGCTCCCTCAAAGCTGGACCCATGTGCCCTGTTTGTTTACTTTGTCAGCGGTTCTGTTCCCCATGGTCTGTTCACTCGGCTTGTTTCTCGATCTGTCCGTTGGTGTTCTGAAGCTGGTCCAACTCAGTCCCCTACCCTGTACCAAAATGGAGCTTGGTTTGTTATTGGGAAGCAAACTTTTCATGATTTTGTTCTTATTTGTAAGAAGCAGTTTATTAAGTTTTTTATCAAGCAAAGAAACCAACCTCAGCAGATCTCTGCGGATGACACAAGTGAGGTGGCAGTGCAGGTTCGTGAGTTTGTGGAAGCAACTTTGCAAGATTTGTCACGTGATCTCTATAAAGGTGGATTGCAGTATCATATTCGGGTCGCCTGTCCGTATTGTCAGCAGGAAGAATGCTCAAGCCATAATAAGATTGCATGTTCCCATGAAGATTGTCTTCACCTCCTTGAGTTACGACAAGGCGATCCTCTGATTTGCAAGAAGAAACCTGCAGAGGAGGTACTCACGGTTACGGGACAAGAACAGTGGTTCTCACAAATAGAAAGTAAGGTAAGTAGTAGTGAAATGCGATCTCTAACAGTGCTGTTAGCATATTACATATCAATCGAGTCCACCTACTACTAAAAATTATGTCCTCAAAAGAGTAGCAATCTATTTAGTCTATACATGTGCTATACATGTGCTTTGTTAGGTTATAGTATGATGTAGAACGTATGCCTTCATTTATCCTACCACGGGCTTCTCTGCAGTGTAAGAGAAGGCTTTGTTGCTGTCAACTTCATTGGCGATCATTGGTACTTAATATCAAATAAGTTGATAAGCTCAATTGCCTACCATACATTACTAATTGCTATTGGCCTTTAGGCATTAAGCAGTGAGTATATAACTTTTTCCCAAGTCTTGTTTAATGTCCTGTTTTGCTTTACTGTTGAGTAATAAGTTTATAGAAGCTAACGTGTTGATAACATGTTTTCAAACTTTCATTCTAAAATGTAGAAACCCCCAGTTGTAAAAATTTATATTTTAAAGTGTGCAATTTTGGTTGCTATCCAGGAGGCGTGTACTCCATCATCATCACCTGATACTGCACAAGCTCGTCCAGAGCGTCTGGTACTGAAAGTTACCCTTCTCGCGAATGAGTGGGGGTCGTGCAAGGGTGGCTTGTCAACGATAAACAGAACTCTTGCCATACATTTGGCAAAAGACGCAAACGTAGAAGTCACCATTCTTGTACCTGAATTTGAGTGTGGCGAAGAGGATAAGAGAGCGGCCAAAAGTCACAACATTTCCATCCGGGAAGCAGAGCGCCTTCCTGGCTTCAGTGATCCTCTTGACTGGTTGAGTTTTCCACCAGATGACCTTGANAAACTTTCATTCTAAAATGTAGAAACCCCCAGTTGTAAAAATTTATATTTTAAAGTGTGCAATTTTGGTTGCTATCCAGGAGGCGTGTACTCCATCATCATCACCTGATACTGCACAAGCTCGTCCAGAGCGTCTGGTACTGAAAGTTACCCTTCTCGCGAATGAGTGGGGGTCGTGCAAGGGTGGCTTGTCAACGATAAACAGAACTCTTGCCATACATTTGGCAAAAGAAGCAAACGTAGAAGTCACCATTCTTGTACCTGAATTTGAGTGTGGCGAAGAGGATAAGAGAGCGGCCAAAAGTCACAACATTTCCATCCGGGAAGCAGAGCGCCTTCCTGGCTTCAGTGATCCTCTTGACTGGTTGAGTTTTCCACCAGATGACCTTGAAATTCAGGTTGTGATCGGCCATGGAGCAAAGCTTGGCAGACAAACACAAATTATCAGAAAGTCTCATCGATGCAAGTGGGTGCAGTTTGTTCACACTGAGCCTGAAGAGCTGGCGATGCATAAGAACTATCCAAGCGCCATTGCCAAGGGAGAAGGGAAGAACAGAGCTGAAGTTGACCTTTGTCAAATTGCAGATCTCGTTTTAGCCGTTGGACCCAAGTTGAAAGAAGCGTTCTCGTCCAAGTTGTGTTCATCTCGTCGAGATATCTTTCAACTGATACCAGGTTCCTTCGCAGAGTTTTCAGACATTGAGCATGCTGAACAAGAAAGTGTAAATTTCAAAGTGTTAGCCTTCGGTCGCGGTGATTTCGAAGACTTTAGTCTTAAAGGATACGACGTTGCCGCTCAATCTATAGTTGAATTGAAGGACAGTTCCTATAGTCTTGTGTTCGTTGGTGCATCCGATGGAAGGCAGGATGAAGTCGCAGAAATCTTGCTCCAGACTGGCATTTCAAAGAACCAGCTGATTGTCAGATCATTTGTGAAAGACAAACAAAGATTGAGAGAGTTGTTTTGTGAAATCGATCTGGCCATCATGCCATCAAGAACTGAGGGGTTTGGTTTGACAGCATTGGAAGCCATGTCAGCTGGTCTTCCCATTCTGGTTAGTGGAAACTCCGGATTTGGAAAAGCACTGCGTGGCCTTCCAATGGGTAAGTCATTTGTGATCGACTCTGATGACCCCAAGGAATGGGCAAAGAAAATTGAAGCCATCCGTCAAAAATCAAGGACACAGCGGCTTGAGGAAATCCAAAGACTGCGAAGAAGTTATGATGAAAGTTTTAGTTGGGAGGGACAGTGCCAGGCCCTTGTTGACAGGATGTGGAAGATGGTCAATGGTAAGAAATCAAATTTACCGATAGAGAAGTAACGATAATAATAATAATTAGTACGTGATGATTTTCAGATGTGTATCTTTTCAGTATTATCCTCCATTTGGCCTTCATAATTCATCGCTGTATGTCCATTGCTTCTACAATAGCGAGTGCATAAATACATTTTTACTATATTATGTTTCGTGGTCCATGTGCGTCGCTGAAGAACTATTGTCGTTGACCATTTTAACTTTAATGGTGGCATTCACATTGTCCACGTCGTTCTCCATATATTTCTTGTGTTAATGATCAATTTCATTTTTTAAAACTTTTATGTATAATTTTATAACATGTTGCCTACACTTAAGGGAATTAACGGTACATGAAAATTAAAGTCCATAACATTGTGATGCATGAAAGTCATCTGATTTCTATTCATATGCAGTAGCAGTGTTGGGGTTGTCTTGTATATAAAAAGAACGTAGCAAAAAAAGTCCAGCTGAACTTTTGGCTTATAATTTGTCACAAAAAATGGAAGTGGGGCTTCTGAGGTTGAAATCGTTTGTTTTTTTTTTAAGAGTGAATTTTTTTTTTGTAAATCATCGCTTTTTATAACTTTACAGGTCTTGGAAAAACCAAAGAAGATGACGTTCCACAGAACGACTGTGAAAAGGACGCTTCAACAGAACCCATGGCAGCTAATGTCATTGTTTGCTTTCTCAGTTGAACCAAGGACAAATTATTTGTGCAGCCGAGCAAGGTTATTTTTTTCTGTTGAACCAGGGTACTTTCGATTATTGGGGTGCATCTCCAAGTAAACTGACGTAAACTAACTGTTTCCCTCTCCTGCTTACAGGCCAAACCATTTAAATTCACTGCTAATTTTAAACTTTACAGGTGTTGAAAAAACCCAAGAAGTTGACGTTTCACAGAATGACTTTGAAAAGGATGCCGTATCAGGACCGATGGCAGGTAATGCCATTGTTTGCTTTGAGAATAAAACCAAAACCAAAATATGTTTTTGCAGTAGAGTGAGGTTATTAAGTTCTTTGGAGACCACAGTAATTTTCAATTAAATTGTCTGCTGTTTTGAGCTTCAGATCAGTGCACAATCTCCTATTAAACTGGACTGAAATAACCCCTATCTTATGTTAATTTTTTTTTCATCTTCCGTTTACAGATGAATTACCCGTTTTTATTGTACTTCAACAAATCATACGGGAAGCACGCATAGAGTCCAGCAAAACTAAGCTGTCGCAGGCTTTGAAGGGGACTGCATTAGAAAAAGGTTTTGCAATTTCTGACAATCAAGGAGAGGGAAACTGTATGTTTTTTGCACTTTCAGAACAGCTTGACCTTATCAAAGGAATCAAAATCTCCCATGATGAGTTACGCCGAACTATTGTTCAACACCTTCGGGAAAACCCTAAGCTGGTAAGTGCCTTTTTCTTTTTCATTATTTTTAGAGTGGACATTTTTGCAGTATATGCGCGTGGCTCGTCACATAATAGTAAACAATTTAATGGCAAACATCCCTTCCCCCCACCCCTCTCTCTCTCTCTCTCTCTCACACGTGTAACGGACACCTCCCTAAAACCTCCTAAACCTACTCCACCTCCCTAGAAGTGTTGGTCCCTGCCGTTCTTAATTGTTTTTTCTTTTTAATTTTTTAAGGAGAATAGTATAGGGTGCACAGGTTAGACCGCTTTTTTGTAGTGTGATCTCATTAAAATGAAGTGGAATAAATAATGTTCTCTCTGTCTCGTGAATAAAATGCGGTTGAATCTCATTAAGATAACGCCACGAGCTATTTTTACGTGGTATTTAGTACATCCATTTATATAGCTTGCAGGGATCATGCCCTTATATTGACATAGATTAGTCCAAATTGTGTGTGTCATGTCTTTATTTGGTCATGAAGACACCTGTGACTTAAAATCACATGAGAACGGTGATTTCGGCGCGATTTCTTTAACGCGCCGATGCAGCTGTCTCTTTCGAAAAACGGTCGCTGCAATTTTTTAGACACTAAGAAAATTTTTGATCTGTTATTTAGAGTTAATATCAGTGGCATAGGTTGGTTGGTTGGAGGCTCCTTCATGAGTGAGACATTTCTTACTATTAATGTGACTGTGTGTTACAGTTAAGCCTTAATGTGTTGCTTGTGATGGACTTTGTGACTGCGAGATGCGGTTCGCAAGTCCAACTCACAAAAATGACCCTTGCTCGCCAACGAGTCCTCAGTAGCTCAGAGGTTAGAGCATCCGATCTAGAACACGGAGGGTCGTGGGTTCGAATCCCATCTGGGGTTCAGATTTTTTCTGTGTCCTCTTATGGTTGATTCTTTACATCTCCCTTTATTTCCTTTAAATAGTTATTTAGAGTGTTTGTGTAAAAAAAAGAAAGAAAATCGCAACCCAAGGTAAAACCCGGACCTCGAACCCGGAGCTTTCGTATGCTAATCTCTCTCCCTTACCACTAGACTACCCCACCGACCCGCCAAAATGCCGAAAAAATTTAAGTACATACACTGGCAAACTGTCTTTCTTAACTGTTTCGTCAATAGCAGGTGACCCTAGCCCTTTCCATAAAATTTTAACGCCTGTCAGTATACAGGCCAAAAAGATTTTTTAGCAATTTCATTAGCATTTAGAGGTTAAGAACAATTTTTGCTCCCGCTGTTCCTTTCCTGCAGTCTTTAAAAATATTCAGTGTCAGGTTCCATACTGAGTAGAATTTTTTCGTATAGGATCAATCCTTTTTAAAGATATTCCTTACCACAGAACTTAGTCAAAGACTTTTCTAATCGAGTTTCTTTTTTAAGAATTGTTCCTGTTTCTGGTGCGCTTTGATGAATCTGTAAATATTTTCAGCCTCGAATAACTCTTTCATTGACAAGTTATTAATGTTTAAGACTAATTTCTGAATGACAGCAATCCTTAACTAGCTTGCGAATACAGAAGCCTCTAATTACGCCTTGTCGCTGGGGAACACCAATTCCTTATCATACTATGTAAGTATTTCAATATAGTAGAAATAATTTATCAGAGTATTTTTCTTACCATTGTATGTTAATATATTACCAAGGCCACTGCCTCTATTTTGGTACATCAAATAGGTCATGGTAAAATTAGTTAGGTTTAAAAAAAATGTGTCATTCTACCAACTTAGTGAGAGTCTTTTTATAATTTGCTATAGTTTGTTAGCTAATAAATTAAAACGTGCTAGTGTTAGGGCGCCGGACCGGTTATTTCATAACTGAAATAGGTTTTTAAAAGGAGTTTTGGCTAAAATTACATATCAACCGATGCGTATTATTCACAAATTGACTCATCTCAGGCTGGACCTTTTTCAGTTAAAAATGTGGTTCTCATTACCACGTGGAGGCGTGTGTGGCTGAGCGGTTAACACCTCGAACTCTGGATCTGGAGGTCCGGGCTTCAAGCCTCGCCCGTCGCGTTCATTCCTTAGACAAGGAATTTTACCACTTTGTCTCTCTTCGCCCAGGTGTATAAATGGGTATCGGCGACATACTGCTGGGGGGTCACGGAATCTCATTCATAAAAATGCTCTTCCAGAGAGCCGTGCAAAAATCATGCAATAAAATAATATTAGATAAGTGTAGTTATTAAAATGGTCCTAAAATTACAAATGCAAGAGAAATAACTCCAAGCTTCAAGCCTTAACAGCGTTTGATAGACTATTCCAGAGAACCGCCCTTCTATAGTGGAAGCTGTTTTTTTTTTCAGCCTCAGTATACAGTACAGTCTTGGTACAAACAAATTATATTTTGAGTTCCTTAGATTATAGGAGTACATAGAGTTTGTACCATTAAAAATTTGAGCCCAATGATCTAATGCAATGTGATTTTTCAATTTATACGTTATTGTGGCTAATTGCCTTGTCCTTCGTGTCTCAAGATTATCCCACCCAAGTTCATCCAGTATCTCAACTGATCGCCTATCGTAACTGGAGGAAGTTACCACCCTGGCAGCTCTGTTTTGGAGGGTCTGGAGTCTGTTACACATCCCTTCCCCACAGCTCCCCCCACACTATACTACAATAATCGAAATACGATAGTACAATGGATTTGAACATCGTAATTAATGTATGATAAGGTATGAGATGCCTTACACGTCTCAGAACTCCAATCCCTCCAGACGCTTTCTTAGCAATTTTGTCTACATGATCTCTCCAAGTTAATGATTGATCTATTTCAACACCAAGATATTTATAACCCTGCGATGGACTAGCATCCCGTCGAGGGGGGGAGTAACAATACTTCTAGGCTTGCTTCATGCTACGCAAACCAGTATAAGCTCCGGCCGTGTGGGCCTTTGGCTCGTGTGCGCCTTTACCTTACCTTTTCCTCATTACCACGGGAGCGGTCTGGCTGCCGGTCAATTCTGACAAATGAACAGTGCTCTTTACCTCTCAGTTTAAAACACTACTAATAATACCTTGTGCTACAGATATCTTGATCTCATGCATGCTATCAGCTTGTACCGGATTTGGCGAATTCTCCAGTTTCCTAGTGATTTTTACTAAAAGTTAAATAAAATTAAGTGATTTTTTTTTGTAAACTAAGTATTTTAGTTTTTGAAAATAAAGTTGTATAATGTGTATTTTATTCTATTGGTTAAGAAGCAAATTAGCAAATTGTAATCAGTTTGAAACTTTATAACGTGAAGAGATTGACCACTGTAAATATACTAATTTGACTTTTTTGTAAATAAAGATCTCTCTTTCAATTTAATTTATACATTAAATATGTGTCTAAACAAGTCTACTTAATCCCTCAATTAGGTCCCAGTCACAAATATGGACCCTACTTTCCTTCATATCACGAATCATGTATCTAACATCCATCATTGCAGAAAATTATCTCCAGGATTACAATCAGTTAGTGTCAAGTCTCGTCCGGTTTCAGTTCATGTTTTTTTTAAGCGTTGACAAGATTGCTGGTAAAGCTTTAAAACAATCTTAGAAACATATCAGCCCAACCTGAGAAAATGCGTTCTCCACTCAAGATCATTTTTTGGCATGTTACAATGTGGGTCACTATATGAATAGATATATTAGCAGCTAAATTCGATTCGGCTTTTTCACGAATATTTTCCGAAAGAAACACCTATCAGGGGCCTCAAAATTAGGTGATCGTGCGTTATGCTAGACCGGAAATTCACTTATCACAGCATTTCGAGTTCTCTATATGAAAGTCAAACGGACTTAATGACACAGGACAGGATCGCAAAACCAGCCCAGATCGCTTCAAAAACAAAAAAAGACAAACAAACAAACACACTAGGACACAAACTATAGCACAAAAAATGCAAGTAAGTAAGTATCGGTAAGTAAGTAAGTGTCGAATCACGTGGATGTAATAGTAGATAAAGCAAAACCGGGTGGGCCAACCAAAGCGAACAGTTGCTAGCAAGAACAGAGAAATTTTCTCTACCCTTTGTGAGTCCTTGGTAATATCGTTCCTTTCCGGCGGGCAAGGCGAAACGAAAAGAGACTTCGTAAGAGAAAATGTATTTGAGAACTGCTAAAATTGGGCCTGATCTCACGTTATAATCAGCCTTGCTTCTTTTGCTCCACTTTTTAATCGAGGTGCACAGAAGTTGAGCACTTTGTCATGTATGATTTTTTTTCCTTTGGGTTTCACTTTGCATAAATTTTTTGGGGGACATTTTCTCTTGCTCGAATTTTTGTTTTTCGTTTTTCGCTACCCCAACCATCACTTAACTTGTCAGATAGGACACAAAGCGTTGTAGTGAATGGATCAACATCTAATCCCCAATCCATTTCATTTGGAGTCCCGCAAGGGTCCTTGATCGGTCGCTTGTTATTTATAATCTACATCAACGATGTACCCTCGGTGGTAAAGCATTGTAAAATCCAATTCTATGCGGATGATACCCTCCTACTGGCGTTAGCAGTAGTTCCATCATATCACCGACACAGAATCTATGCTGTCCGAAGATCTTAAGCATATAATAGAGTGGCTTAATAATAACTTCCTCTACCTTAACTATAGCAAAACTAAGGTAATGTTGACTGGTACACATCAGAGGCTTGCCCTAGTTGATAGTTTCACAGTCAGAGCTGGGGACACTGTCCTGTCACGAGTCTATCTTAAGTATCTCGGCGTTATGCTCGATCCATACCTCTCGTGGAATGACCACATAGACTACATTGGGGGCAATATATCGGCAAAGCTCGGTATACTTCGTAAAGCGCGCAAGGTCGCGTGAGTCGTGTTTAACACTTAATAACGCCGTGAAACTTTCAGTATTCGACTATTGTGCTGTTGTATGGTACTCCTGCAGTAAGGCTGACCGAGAGTACTTGGATAAGCCACATTAGGCGTGACGCCAGTATTATCGAAGGCTACACAATTTCACAATCGCAGATATCTCACACTTCCG